ACTCACAATTCAAAAATAGGCTTAGGGTTCAGGAAATAGAACGACAAAATAAACCCGTAATAAGCCTGTAATATGTATATATACGTGTGTATCTTCTAAAATTTACTCCCTATTTCTTGGAATGGAAAACCAGCGAAAAGAGTAGCAGTATTTTCACTCGACGCCATGATGAAAATACTGCCTCCCAGTCATAAGAATGAACGTTTCTTCCAAGCTCACAGTAGATTCAGACTTCGTATGAGCGAATACTTTAATCAACTAGAGTGAACATGTGTGATATCAGATACATTCTTCAATCTCGTGAAAAATCGTTAAAGTTCGAATGATTTGGTGGTCACACCATTTTTTCAGTGAAATCTTATTTCGAGAAATTTAGAGAGCAAATTTAATTAAGGAGCGCTTGTGCGACAGAATGTGCAAAAAGTCGATTATGAACATGATCTAGTTCAAGGTAATTCATGTAGACGTTTCGAAATCTAATCAGCGATTTCGAGAACTGGAACATTTTGGAGATCAATCTTGTTACATAAACGCGCAGTTCTGTTTGTACCAGCGAGTTTGTCTCTTGGATATTAAGGAAGAGACGTACTAAAGTTCTGTTAATTGGAGTCTCATTTTGCCGAGAGGAGTCTTGGCTCACCCAGATGGGAGCCTCGTGGCTCTATTAGACCTATTTTCCATTGTCGAGTGCAGTCAACGAGGACGACGACGACGACGACGACGAGATGGAAGTGGGGGTTCGCTGCAACGAGCTCTCGTTGCATCGACGCGTTGATGCGATATCGCGTAGGTTCTTGACCGCGTTTCTTATGCAACGGTGATTTTTTTCGGGATACAGGGTCGCCCTCTAATTAGACATCGATATGTAATTATAGACCCGCGTATAATTAGGGGCGGGCTCGCCGGCCTAAGAATACATCGATTTCTGTCACTGCGCATTAGCCGCGGGGTCGCCGTGCCGTTTAAACGTCCCGTGCGGATCCCGACGGTAAATTATAAATCGCTCGTAATGAGTGCGCCGCTCAAACCGTTACACGTGCTTACAGTTATTTCTCATCGTGGCTAGTGACGATATTCTTTTTGCTGATCAAGACGATTCTCTCGTGTAATCCACTTCGGATGGTGTATATTATTTCGTGCGGAACTGCTGGGAGAACTTTCGTGGGCGACTAATTTTCTTTCGCACGCGTGCACACACACACACACACTCCTAAAATGAATCAGTCAAACATCACTGAAAACAGTAAATATACCCTGATTTGCAGTTATAAGTATAGCACTGAAACTGCTCAGTGTTATAACTGATATCAGTGACTATTCACTGATTTACTTTAAGAGAGCACATATTTATATAATATCTAAACTGTTAAGATCTAGCACGAGAAACTGATACGAGATATCAGCAGTAATGGTGAGGATGATGGCAACCATATTTCGGAGAGACATATGTATCAATTCTTTAATTTTAACTCAACTTAGAAACCAAAACTCATATACACATAATTTAATAAGCTTTTTTCTCTGTTTCATGTGTACTATACATCTCTAAGCGTTGAGCCTTTTTTCCCTACACACACTCGAAAAAATGTTTTGCTGGTTTAGGTAGAATTCTGAATGTCGCAGTTGAAATTTGTCGTTGTTTCCTCTTATCTGCTAGAAAATTGTCTGATATACGTAGAATTTATAGCAGCAGCAGTAGCATTCTAGCAATATATCTGCAAGCGAATTTAGGAGAGTGTGAAGATTATATATTCGTTTATCTTTCTCGTCGCTAGTTTTTTATGTCCACCGTAGTCAATTTTTATGAGAACAGTGACTTGTTTTGATCTGAGTGGACGCTACAGAGAGTTTTTCTTGCTAAATGGTACAAATAGTTCAGACAAAAATTCTGTCATCTATAGTGATTAAGCACATGTACAAAACATGTACAAAACATGTACAATATATCGTATCAGTACCTGTCATTTATCTTATACATCTCAATCACTGTGATTTATCTTACATATCTCATCTAATTTTTTATATCTAGATAACTTTCGCTATGTAACTGCAAGACTATTTGTACACCTTGCTCGTTTTGTCTTTCCGAAATATGGTAGTAGACTTATCTGTGTATCTCAAATCTCTGAGTCTGATGCCTAATAGCAGTACAGCTATTATATCGAAGTCTGTGGTCTCTTCTCTTCCGAGTTTTTGTGAAACCGTCGTCATTGGCGTCGAGCATACTGACGACGGTGCAGCAGATATTAGTGTGCGCATCATCGTGCCACATTTGCAGCGAGGCGAATCTATCGCGCTCCATTGTCCGACGCTAACGAGACGAGCTTTAATTATTCCCGCATTGTTTTGCAAAGCCATCTCCGGCCGTCCGATTATTTCTGACACGCGCACGCGCGCGCGTTATTTACGCGCGAAAGCACGCCGCGATGACACGCGTCGTCGATATCTTTCACTCCTTCTCCGTTGCTCCGTTGGCCTGATTTCACGTTTGGCCTGGCCGCGAAAACTGTGCATTCATTATTCGTTCATATCGAGGGTCCTTTTCGCAAATCGATTAAATTATGATCCCGACTTCCTCGCGGGGATAATAAATAACTCATCTCCTGTAAACGCACGCGGTGGCGAATTAAACGTTCGCGAAGTGATTCCGAATGTTCTTCCGAAGGAAGAAGAATTATGAGAGCCAAAAATATATAAGAATAATACTTTCTTTTTCATATAAATTCTTTTCAATTTAACGATGTTTTCAGTACTGCAGGAATAGGAATAGCACATACATCGATAGAAAAAATATTTAAAAAAATAAAGAAATTAATTCAGAATAACAATAACATATTTGCTTTCAATCTATTTTATTTACTCAATCTACTTAATTTACTTCAATCTAAATTCATTTATTTAAATGAGTTTATATAAATGATGCAAATAATTGCTCTCATGAAAAGCTAACGTTTTAAAGAAATATGTATATATTCTTATCTGAAAAATATTTTATGTTAATGTGTGCAAATAAACATGTTATTAATGACATATTTACGCCCGCCGAATAAATGTTTTTTTTATTTCTTAGATATTTTTTCTCTCACAGTGTATGAAATGAGAGGATAATTACTACGGAATGCAATCCGTTACTCAGCCACAAAATTCTGCAATTTTTTCTACAAAAATCTATTCGTATATGAAGCGTCGTATCGTCGTATCTCCGGGTTTATAAATATATCTGGCTGATAAATATAGAGGCACTTGGCCATTTCGAGATCCCGACGTTAACGAGGGGGCTCCCGCGATGAATGAGAGCGAAGCTCGTCAGATTCGCAATCACCCGCGGCGTCACTTCTGCGGCGCGCTTATCGGCCGCTTATCGCGAATGCTCGCGGCACGCACACGTGCAGCGATGCGCATCCGCACACGTGTCCGGGCATGGAACACCGACGCATGGCCACTTCGTGCCGGGAGCCACCCACGTCAACGCTTTGTCTCCGATTACTGAGCGGTGTATATGTGTCTGTGTATGTGTGTGTGTGTGTTTAGTCTCTGCGAGAGATGGCGAAAGGATGCGGACGCGGGAGGACGGAGGCTCGCGGTGGGCGAAAATGGGCGCGACTCTTCGGCACGCATCGAAAAGATGCCGCATTATTATCGGGCGGAACATCGAAGTAATTGAATGACGAAGCGCGACGAGAGAGCCGTCAAAGGTAGCGAACGAAACCTCGCGCGCACACGAGAAAATGATGGGGGAGGGAGAGAGAAAGAGATCGATAGAGAGAGAGACAGGCAGAGATAGAGAGAGAGAGAGGGAGGGAGAAATAGGAACGTCAGATAATTAGGTTTTATTTTCATTTCGCGACGACCTACAATGCAGCAGCGAGGTTACGGGTCAGTAAATTGATAATTGTTTCTCCAAGCGAGAATGCCGATGGACAGTTTCCCGGGAAAGTTTGCGAGACGGGAGATACAACCTTCTGTGTTTCTTCTTTTTTTTTCCTTAGTAGACAGGATGCTCGGTAACAGGAGCCCGACTGTAATTATGAATTTCATAAGCGCCCGCATAAAGTCGCCGACGCGGGTAGTTGCGTGACTCTTGTTCTTCACCATTTCAAGAGATGGTGCTTGAAACATCGAGATGGAAGTAGCCTCTAAATTTCTTGGAGCGGGATCTCGCTCAAAGCGAGTGAAAATCAGTGGCAGTATTTTCACTCTGAACGACCTACTCAAAAATAATGGTCTCACAGTCGTAACGAAAATGATCCTAATACGAGAAATTAATTAAGATGATAAATGATTAGCAAACATTGCGATATCGCATATGTTTTGTATTTAATCAATACAGATGACCGAGACAGCATTTCTGCCTGAACTGTTTGTAAAATTTAACAAGAAGATCTCTGTCCATCCAGATTAAAACCAGTCACGTTTTTTTATAAAAGTGTGTTATTCTTATAAAAGACTGTAGTAGACAAAAAGAGACAAGCGACGAGAGACAAGCGAATGTATATTCCTTACAACCATCTAAATTTGCTTACAGATATTACTAGAATGGTACTGCTGTATCGCGAACAATTATCTAAATACAGAAAACAGCAATAAATTTTAACTGTAGCATTCAGAATTCTAACTAGACTAGCAACACATTTTTTTGAGTGGATAGTGAAAATATTGCTATTCGAAGTCGCAAGAGGAACGTCTCACTCAAGTTTAAAAGTACATTCTGATTCTTATATGAGCGAATGTTCCAATCATCTAGAGTGAATACATTCCCATAACGATGCAGTACATCATGTTTACTCTTCGAGCAAAAATGTTCGCCTATTCGGTGTGAAGAATTCACTCGATATGAGTGAAAATTCGGATTCGGTGATCACTCTGTTTGTAGAGTAGAATTTCCAGGCTCCAAGAGATTTAGGGACCTATACACAAACTACAAATCGCGCAATCATCACTATAAACTCGCTGATTGTTTCAACGTCTCTCTAACGAGCGTCCGTTCTTTCTGATTGCAGAGTCCTGGAACGTTGCACAAAGATGTCGGCGGCGCCGGTACGAAGGTCAGCGAGAAAACGGTCGGCGGTGTTGGCACGGCGACCCTCACCACGCTCTCCTCCATTAATAACGCATCCAACACCGGCCGAAACAAAAACAACCCCGTATCTCACGAGGTAAGGCTACGGGGGAGGCGAGTTATCCCCCCGCGTATTGATCACAGCCGGGCGATACGTCATCCGGGCCCGCAGATGACTCCGATAATTAACCGGTCCTGCGCTTGAATTTATTGCCCATTAATCCGTTTGCATTCACCGGGCGCGCCGCGAGGAATCGGCCCGGCCTTTCCGCTTTGCGATATCGCTGTGTGGGTAGGTGTATACGCGCCTGTGTCTGTTGTGTTGTACATCTGCGTACACCCGCTCCGTCCGTCCGTCCGTGTGCTCGCACAGGCACATGACATTATTCAGTGCATGACTTATTGGACGCAGCACGAAGCACCGTTTACAGTTTAGTTCTACTTCTGCCTTTGTCGCTCGATCTGCCCGCGCAAAAAAAGAGACCTGCGCCTTTCGCCCCGGGGGAGAATTTAATTGACAAAAATTTGCAATTCCTTCGAGCTAGGTCTCGAATTTCTCGGACCTCTGGCCTTCTCTTGATACCGGATTGTGTGACAAGTAATTTCGGATATATTTCACAGGTCAAATGAAATTATATTTTTGTTTTATGTCATAATTAATATACAGTGATAATAATAATGTAACAATAAAAATGCACACGTTTATTTAGCCTGGAAAATTCAAAATTACTTATTACATAATATTTTGATAACCTTAATTAAGAAAATAATTAAGATACAGTAGATGGGGATTAATTAATATTCATATTAGAAATTAGAATTCGCGGTCGGTTTGACGTGAGGAAGGCAGGTTCATCGCGTACGTCACTGAAGTTCGGAAAACTTTTCGACACGTGTGTTGACACTGTCAAATATTAGCCTGCCATTAAAATATCCCTGAAATTTTAATCCGGCTTTCGACCTTGATATTTTATTTAACGTCTATTTTGATACTGTAAAGTCTATATCAACTTGTTTTGACTCCATTTAACTTACTAACTTTGCCTCTTTAGAACTTATAGGTGGCATTTTGTACGTTTTCTGTTATTATTCAGAGGCATTAAGTAGGATTTCAGTTTCTAACTTCTACTAGAAACCCTAACTTAACTACGATTTCAGTATTGAACATACACTGGTCCTTCAGAATATACTGTTCGAAAGTTCAGATCAATAGGAAAGCTAAAATTTCGACTGTCGGGTTGCAACATCAGTGTTTGCACTGCAAATCCAACACGTTCAAATACATTTGAACGTATTGAATTACAATATATACATCTTAATTATAATATATACATCTTAACGCATGTTAAGTGACACGATTTCGAACCATAAGGAACGTGCTTTGTATACGCCAAATTGCCAAATGGCAGACGTTTATGCGTCGAAAAGTAACACTTGTTTTTGCGGTATGTGGCACATTCTCAATTAATTTAATTTTTTTTCTTATTAAAATTCTACACTCATCTGATACAAATCAAGAGGAGAAGCACAATTAACCGCGATAGAGCGTCAAGCAACATCCGCGAACGGGACCTCGCCGTTACTTTAGCGCCTTTGTTTGACGTAAAAGCGGAATCCGCGAGATAAAAAACCCGTCGCCGATGACGCGATCAGGAATCGTTCGCACGCGTCGGTTGTTATCATCTACGTCCGTGCGCGCGCTACAATGTGTATGCGAGCCGCGCATGTAGGATTTTATTAGCCATTGTTAATGCCGGAGAAAATTGCAGACGCGACGCTCGTGCTCGATCTGTCTCTCTCTCTTTCTCTCTCTTCTCTCTTCTTTCCCTCTTCCTTTCCTTTCTCCTTCTCTCTCTCTCTCTCTCTCTCTCTCTCTCTCTCTCTCTCTCTCTCGCGAACTCGTGTGTATGTTTATCGGGTATCCGCATAAATTTATAGAGTAGAATTCGCCTCGCGTCCCTATCGCGGCAATCGCCGTGGCTCTGCCGTATTTTTGTTAACGGTTTTATCGGGGATTTACGGGGCGAGAAGAGTGAGAGAGAAAGAGAGAGAAAGGGAGAGGGAGAGAATCGCCGTCGTCGTGAGAAGGAGAACCGGCATCGCGACTCGCCCGCGACGCTACTCGGACGGAACTAATTGAAAATTGTTGCCGTCGGCTACCTGTTAGGCTGCGATAAATCGTGTCTTTGGCGTCGGCAATACCGCGCGCGCGTGCTCTCCCTACGATTGTCTTGTACCATCGCGATTTCGACGGAGGGTCGCGCCGCGAACGAGCTTGAAAACTGTGCGGAACGGTACACAATTTCTTGCGCTCGATTTCGTCCTCCCGCGGTGCGCGAAATGGCCCGTTGCTGGCAGTAGAATCGTCACGTAGAAGTCGTCGCGAACGTTTCCTCGTGTGCGTCGCATCGCACTGCAATGCTGCTGACACGATATCGTTAAGAAAACGAATGCGTGGTAGATCAGGTCAAATTGAACAAGAAATTCCTCTGTCATTTTCCAAACAATCACACAAGATTTTGAGATGTTAATCAAAAAAGATTGGCGAATTAGCGAGTGTGGAAAGTCCGGGAAAGAAAGTGGTATTTTCTTTTTCTGCTACCTTTTGTAACAGATTCTAAAAAACCGTCCAATTCTGCATAGAAAACTCCTAAAACGTGTATAATCTAAGTACAATAGTTAAGGAATTATTTGGCAACGAAAAGTGCAACTTCACTAATTTCTATTAACAATTATGCGCGCGCGAATTTATGTAGGGAAAACCGGGATTCTCTCTCTCTCTCTCTCTCTCTCTCTCTCTCTATATATATATATATATATATATATATATATATATATATATATATATATATATATATGCCCTATATTTTAGAATTTCAAAGTTACAACTTCTCAGGCAATTAATTGTCGTGGCTGACTGTATAAGCGTGACAGAGGCAACTTTTGTAATAACCAAAATACGTGCAGCATCATAGCCATCTTATCCTGGTACCGAGTTCAATTACTCACAGGGTAAGAAGACTACGTATAAAATATATATCCTGACTAATAGTTCCAGAGTCTCCGCGAGAGGTCTCCTTCTTGTCGACCCTTAAATATGAGCCAACTTCACCTCGTCCGCTTATATTTTAATTATTTTATGAATGAAAATTGCATTTATTATCAGAAATAGTATATCATATATTTGCAAGAAATTTCATTCTAGCTAGTAACACATCGCTTAATTTTATTCAGTCACGATAGAGAATATTAAAAATTTCGAGAGACTCGAAAATTTACTTTGCTATTGTCAAATCAATTTTTCTTCTACTTCTTAACTAATACTATTCCAATTTCAACGAAACTCAGGAAACAAAGTATTCATATTCTAAAAAGCTCATTTCACGATTTTGTATCCGCTATTCCCCTCAAGATAAATACTAAAGGAACGCGTATGAGCAACATACTTCTAGCGCCATATAGCCCCGATCTCCCTTACATTCTTAGAAACGTTCCGTCAATCCGCTCTGAACAAGTCGACGTTCTCACAAGCTCGTGTTTGTTAATACCAATAACCTTGCTCGACATCGTCGTCGTCGTATCCGAAGCGCACGATCGATTTGCGTCCGACGCGCATGAATTGCCACGTCGCGAGCGCTCATTAAAAACGACGAAGAAAGATCTCGCATGGCCCGCGTGCCGCAGTTGATGCCGTCATGGGCTTAACTCGTTCGTCCGAACTCCATCATTAAGTCTCTCTCTCTCTCTGCGCGCCCATGCACCGTGCCGCGGCCTCGATTCCGCCATTGCGTTGTTTCTTGCACCTTCGCGGCACAAATCGCCACGTCACCGACATCGTTTGTCTCCTTAGCGCTGTCCCGCTTTTTCCACGAGTTCATTACGTGACCGAGACGATCGAATTTCGTTGCGTTCGCCGTTGCGCAACTGCGCGATCGCGATCCTTCACGCGCGTCGCGGTTTTCAGGAACGGTGTGCTTATACGCACTCTCGTGTACGCGTGTGCGGGGGACAGACAGGCAAGCAAACACATATGTGCAAGAGCAACTCGTGCGCGAATGCATATATGCATGACGAAAAACTTAGAGGATTGCAGCCGCGAGCTTAATGCGCTTACACCTAAATGCACCTCCGAGAGGGAAAGAAAGAGAGACGAATGAACACGTATACACATGGTGCACCGTTACTTACAGCGCCGTTGCTCACGTCGCACGTGTATATTACACGTGGTGTATATATCGGGCTGTCAGACTAATTCATACGTGAATTTAGAAAGTCCGCCGCTATTTTCCGCTAATTGTTGTGGCTGTTGTGCAACCACCAATGCGAAAGCCAACGCTCGCGCCTTCTTGTTCTCGCCCTCCACCGCTGTGGCTTCACCACCATTTTGCAAAACGAATGCGCTCATTAGCCGGTCAGTAGTGCGAATTGACTCACTGATCATTGCCTTTGACAGAGACATGGTCATTATATACACGGAAAAAACAACTCCGTTAGTGCGACTGAATTTTCTGTTATCTGGCAACCAGGTGACAAAATTCGGTTATGATGAACGATTCCTGCAAAAGGTTTCACTCAGCCAATTGTGTTTTCGGTTACCTCAACCGGATTAATACAGCTGAATGTTCAGACGAATGTTGTCGATCGCAGTAAAAGAGATATCATTTCTCTTGTCAGTAAGCTTTTCGTCTGCTCCTCTCTCAGTTGCGCAAATTGACACTTTTTTTCTGTACAGCTTTTCTAATTTTCCTTCGTTGATGCGTTAATTCGCCGCGTAATTTTCCCTTTGCAAGTTCTCATATCCGCGACTTATTCGAGGATAAAGCTTGTCGAAATTACATTTGCCTTCTATGTCGCCTGCTGCTGTTCACGACGGCGCCTCTGCGATATTTATGAATAATGTTGCTCACATAGTGAAGTCGTTGAATGGGAACATCCATGTCGGAACGTTGACAATAAATATTGATCGTCGGAGAGCTCTACGAGAGGGGATAAGCCGATTATAAAAGCTATCTTTTGACGAACCCGAGGGATGTCTTGGGCGTAAATGGCTCGTACAGACGGTGCCCTTTCCGGAACAAGACGTGACTCATGTCTGTT